ATATATATATATATATATATATATATATATATATATATATATATATATATATATATATATATATATATATTTTTTTTCTATCATTGCCAAAATTCATCTTAAAATCGGCGAAATAAATAGGATCTTACATCGTGAACAGCTACGCGAAGCAATTCTATTTGTTCGGGTGTAACGGTCCAAACCTAAAAAATGCAAAAAAGGTGAATTAATCTCAAAAGCAAACACGACATTCAACATAAATAGTCGTACAATATTTAAAAAAAATAGAGCTCTGAATGAAAATTACCTGTCTAACAATCGTCCAAATGACATTTTGAGTGCACGGAGGAGTTGTAAGAGAGCCAAGGTACCTATAGTATAGAATACTTCGCATCTTCAGCAACGATGCATCGATCATATTGATTTCTTTAGTTTCATTTGTATATGAAATTTCTTCCAAATCCTCTTTTATCTGAGGGAAAAAAACATTAAATAAAAAAAATTAAAGCCTATCAAAACTTACGTGGAACAACTCAAGCACAGTACTACTAGTAGATATTGTTCTCTTCGAACTTTCTCTCAAGATTTTAAAACGCTTCTACTGAGAAAAAGTTTTGACACGCTTATAAAAGGTGTTTCGTTCCCCTGTTAAATTGATGTTTGATACATACCAAGGACAAGAAAGGGTCGGGTTGTCCAATCCGATAGAGAATTCCGATGACAGCAATACTTCCATTTTGGCTTTGATGAACTAAATGAGCTTCTAAAGGAAAGGTTTGGCCATTGACGGTGTGCTCGGAAGGGGAGTGCCAATGGCATTGTTTGAAGACGTATTGAGTACCATTCACTTCTATATACCCAGCTCCATCGCCCCATTTCAGCTGAACAACATTGCTCAAATTAGATCAAATATGGTACTATATTATAGGGCTGTCACGTACGAAAAACGCTATAAAAAAGTCTATGAAAACGTTTTTCGTATGCTATCGTAGAGCTATAATAACATGAACACTCGATGAAAATTAAGTTTACCATTATGTCATGGCCTCGATTCTTGAGAGTGCCATTAGAAGGGTTGTAGTAGATTTTGAGGTCTCCAAAATTGGGCATGATTTGAACTCTCTTGTGCGACAAATCGATAGGAGATTGCATCGTGCCAGTTTTACATTTACGCCATTCTTCTTTGATATTTCCCCAATTTGCTGGTCCTTTTTCTCCATCTTCTTCGTAATTGAATTCGCTCTCATCCTCTTCATGAACATGAAAACAATCGAAGTATATGTAGCTGAGTTGATTCGATTCGATTCGATTTTTCTAAAAAATATATATTTTTTTCCTCCTAAAAAACCAACTACGAGCTTGTGAGAATTGAATCTAGAGATGTTCATGGATCGAGGTTTCTCCGTCCCTGTCCTCGTCTCCTATTTCAATTCCTAGGGAATGTGCAGGATTGAGTTTTCCATGAGGAATTATTTAATTATAATAATATGTCAAACATGATACTTACGATAAAATATGATATATAGTAAACTATAATTCATGACTAAATATCCTCAACAGCCGGGACAAAATTTACGGACCCCGTTACGGTAACGGAGATAAATCTCTTAATCACTCACGGCTCCCTCTCCTATTTCCTGTGTAAACGAGGATTTTCCATTCCATTCTAAGTGAATTAAATAGCCATCTCTAATTGAATTCTCGGACTTTTTAAAGACCTAACATTTTATTGATCAAACCCATCAATCAAATCAACAAATTTGTTCGCACTTAGCATTTTTTTTGTTTCTAAAGTCAAAAACCGGCCTAGATTCACAGCTAGCAATATTACCCTTCTTGAGCTTTCCCTTTCGGGCTTCTCCTCTGCTAGGGAAAGGTTTTCACACCGTATAAAATGGTATTTTGTTCTCCTCCTCC